AGGAAATTTGCCCTCATCCAGGACTTGATGTCCGACAGACAGTCTGTCAGGACAGCAGTGGTCCTGGAGTTGAGGGTGGAGGCAGAAAGATAAGAGTTGGGTATCATCCACATACATGTGGAAGTTGACTCCATGTCTGCGGATGATGTCACCAAGGGGGAGCATGTAGATATTAAAGAGGAGAGCGCCAAGGACAGAGCCCTGTGGGACGCCAGACGTGACAGTGCAGGGGCTGGAGGAGAAACCGTTAGAGGCAACAAAGTGGGGATGGTGAGAGAGATAGGAATCGAACCAGCCAAGGGCAGATCCGTGAAGATTGAGTAAAGCGGAGAGGCGGTGTATGAAGGTAGAGTGATTGACAGTGTCGAAGGCAGCAGAGAGGTCGAGGAGGACAAGGAGGCAGAGGGAGCCCTGATCACAGATGTTCAGAATGTGATTAGTGACTTTGACCAGGGCTGTTTCCATGCTGTGGACAGCTCGGAATTCGGATTGGAGGAGTTCAAAGAGGGAATGGGGAGAAAGAAAGGAGCAGAGCTGGGACGTGACGACTTGTTCCAGGACCTTGGAGAGGAATGGGAGGTTAGAGATTGGGCAGTAGCTGGAGAGGAGGGATGGATCCAGGGGAGGTTTTTTCAAGATGTGGGTGACATCTCTATAGTGCAGGTACCTGTTTTCTGAAATCTGCTCAATAAATAGTATGTTTCTTTGAGATAAAGTAATAATTATTATTATTTTATTAATATTATTGCATCAGTTCTGACAAAAGGTCATTGACCTGAAACATTAACTCACTTTCTTCTCTCCATTGATGCTGCCTGACCTGCTGAGTGTTCCCAGTTTGTCAAGCCTTTCCTTATATCTGTATTTCCACATTTCCAGTCAACATCCTGATGAATCAATATCTTTATTGTCAGGAGGAGTCTAAAATTGTACACTATGTTTTGTGTTTGGCGTCTTGTACAGGTTCAACATGACCTCTTTATTCTTTAACTACTACATATTCTTCTAGCTATAAATCACAAGGTCTCCTACAGGTGTGAGAACATTGTGTCAGGTTTGACTTTCTTCTTGTGGTCAAACAATCTGGCGACACTCGATGTGAATGATGAAATATCTGTAGTTTGCATCCTATTTGCAGCTGATCCTGTTTGCACACGTGTACACATTTGTTCACATCTCAGCACAGAGCAGAGATAGAATTGAGGTCCTCGATTTTCCTTGTAACTAAGTACAAGAGTAAATTCCCAGTTTTCAGGAAAACTCAGTACAATATTTCCACTGGCTCCACTGGCTCTTTCCCCTCCTTTGAGCACCTCACCCTCTCCCACCCCTCATTCCTCTCCCTTAAAATCCTCCTCCTCTACCGGCCCCCTAAAACCTCCACCACCTTCATCTCTGACATTTCAACACTCCTCACATCTCTTTGCCTCTGCTCCGATCGCCTCATCATCCTGGGCGACTTTAATCTACACTTCACACCCTCCTGCTCCATCTCCACAGACTTCTCTTCCCTGCTCTCCTCACTCAACCTCTCCTTACACATAAACTCCCCCACTCACAGTCACGGCCACCCACTCGATTTGGTGATCACCCGGGGCCTCAGTGTCTCGCCCTTGGAAGAAGTTACCCCCACAATCCCTAACCGATGCCTTGGAGTCCTCTGAACTCCTCTCCCTCTGGCCTTCAACCCTCACCGACCCCTCTTCTCCTCTCTCCCTCCTCCACAATACCCTCTCCTCCACACTCGATACTCTTGCCCCCATCACTTCCCGCACTGTCTCCTACTCCCGCTCCTCCCCCTGGTACACCACCCACCTCCGCTCACTGAAAAGCCAGGTGCGGGCTGCTGAACGCACCTGTGTCAAATCTGGCCTAACGGTCCACCGACAAATCTGGCTGGACCTCCTCAAAATTTACCGCTCCACTCTAGCCTCGGCCAAGTCGTCCTTCTACTCCAGGATAATCCTGGAGGCGAAGAACAACCCCAGGCTACTGTTTTCCACCACAACCCGACTCCTCCGTCCCCCCCGCCACCCCGCGCAGGTCATCTCCTCCAACCTTCACTGCGAGGAGATGCTGGATTTCCTTGAATCCAAGATCAAGGGAATCCGCTCCGCGGTCACTTCCCCTCCAACTTCCACCCACCACCCACCCCTTCCCTCCCACACTCCGACTCCTACCCATCCTCCCCTACACACCTTCGTACCCGTTTCCCCACCCTCTGTCACTGAACTCATCCTATCCCTAAAACCAACCACCTGCTCCCTTGACCCCATCCCCACTCCACTCCTTATCTCCCAGCTCCACTTTCTTGCCCCACATATCACTGACATCATCAACCTGTCCCTCTCCTCTGGCTCTGTCCCCATTCCATTAAAAACTGCCATCATCACGCCCACCCTGAAAAAACCCTCCCTTGATGCGTCGCAGCTATCAAGCTACCGGCCCATCTCCAACCTCCCCTTTCTCTCCAAGGTCTTGGAAAGAGTTGTCGCCTCCCAACTGCGCTCTTTCCTTTCCACCCATTCTCTTTTCGAACCCCTTCAGTCAGGTTTCCGTGCTGCCCATAGCACAGAAACTGCCCTGGTCAAGGTCACCAATGATATCCTGACCATCTGTGACCAGGGCTCCCTCTGTCTCCTCGTCCTCCTCGACCTATCGGCAGCATTCGATACGGTCGACCACGCTATCCTACTCCACCGCTTGTCCTCCCACCTCAACCTTCAAGGCACTGTCCTTGAATGGTTTAGGTCGTACCTTTCTCACCGTCTTCACTTTGTCTCGACGAATGGCTTCTCCTCCACCCCCCGTACTGTCTCATGTGGTGTCCCTCAGGGCTCTGTCCTCGGTCCCCTCCTCTTCACCCTCTATATGCTCCCCCTTGGTGACATCATCCGCAGACATGGAGTTAACTTCCACATGTATGCGGATGACACCCAACTCTACCTTTCCTCCTCTACTCTCAACTCCACGACCACCGATGTCCTGACAGCCTGCCTGTCCGACATCGAGTCCTGGACGAGAGACAACTTTCTTCAGCTCAACGTGCGAAAAACCGAGGCCCTCCTGATTGGCTCACGTCAGCGCCTCCGCACCTCAGGCGCTGACACCATCAGCATCCAAGGCTGCACTCTCCACCTCTCAAAGCCAGTCAGGAACCTCGGCGTTTTGTTCGACCCTGAGCTGTCCTTTCTCCCTCACATCCGCACCACAACTGGCACCGCCTTCCATCACCTCCGGAACATCGCCAGACTACGGCATTACCTCACCCCTCACGCTGCTGAAACCCTGGTTCACGCCTTTGTCACCTCAAGGCTGGACTATGGGAACTCTCTCCTCGCCGGCCTTCCCACCACCTCCCTCCACAAGCTGCAGGTCATTCAGAACTCTGCAGCTCGTGTACTGTCCCGCACCAGGCTTCGGACCACATCACTCCCACCCTCGCTCGCCTCCACTGGCTCCCCATCCCCCAGAGGATTGATTTCAAGATCCTCATCCTCACCTACAAGGCCATTCACGGCCTTGCTCCCTCCTACCTCTCCAACCTACTATCCCCCTACCTACCTGCCCGTACCCTCCGTTCCTCTGGCTCCGGTCTGCTCCACGTCCCCCGCCCCAACCGCCCTACCATCGGTGGTCGGGCCTTCAGCCTCTCAGCCCCCAGGCTCTGGAACTCCATCCCCCAGTGCCTTCGCCTTGCTTCCTCCCTTTCCTCCTTCAAGGCCGGTCTCAAAACCTTTCTCTTTGACCGTGCCTTCAGCTCCCCTCTCGACTCTCTTCCCCTCCTCGCTCCCTCCCTTCCCTCCCCTCACCCTGACCATTTCCCCCCTCCTCGCTCCCTCCCTTCCCTCCCCTCACCCTGACCATTTCCCCCCTGCTCGGGTCATGACCCAACTGTGCAGCGCCTTGGGACGTCCTCCCGACGTGAAAGGCGCTTTATAAATGGAATCTTGTTGTTGTTGTTGTTGTTGTTCCTTGTTATTAGTAACTTTGCTTGTATAGAGAAACTTGTTCTATTGTCATATAATTATGTTATGACACTTAAAGAATGAGTGTTCATGAGAACGTTAGTTACTTGCAGATTACCTCTAAGAATTACAATAGATTATTCTTGAGAAATGGTCCTATCTCTATACCTATTTACAACTGATTCTTGTATCAAAGATGCACTGTAAACCCGACCATCTCCTTGAACTTCCGTGGTTTCTGTTAATTAAAATTCAACAGACAACCAACCGATTTTTGTCTTCATAAATACAACAGCCTTGGAATTAGACTGGAACAGGGACTTCTCTGTGAGAAGGTACTCAATCCTATAGCGTTAATATCGTCTGTGTCTTCCCAAGTTGAGCAAGAAACTCGGGTAGAACTCATCCACACTCAGGGGACAGAGTTTGTGATCAAAAAAATTAAGCTTAAACTCATGTCAATAAATGATCCAGCCATATGGAACACACGATCTATTGTTACAAACAGCTTCAGCGTAAATAAATAAGCTATTTAAAAAGCGTCACGCTTTCAAATTTATTTAAGAAGGCTACAATCGTATTAATTTTAATGCTGCTAATAATTGTGGGGAGCAGAGTCTGAATTGATGGTGATTAATACATGTGTCCTGCACGTAAAAGAAATGCACATTCTTTTAAATTCCACCCAACTCCAATTAAAGTGGCTTGTGTCTGATGTACACATGGCAGGGTATCCAGCTCCCATATGTTGGCAGCATCACTACAGCACTACCAGCACCATCGCCATGTGAATTATGATTAATCAGAGTTCCGCCAACACGTCTTTAATTTGATAAAGATGATCGTGAGACATTCCTGAACAAAACGCAAGTAAAGTGGTATTTCGACCCCCCCAAAAAAAGAGGGGGTGGGAGAGGGGTGGGGGTGGGGAGGGTTGATAAACCTGTGCCACCACCCCTCCCTTTGCTGGATTTCAATGTCAATGTTCATGTTTCAGTTCCTAAATTTTTGCCCCGTGGCTCTTTGCCCGGCTACACCTTTTCCAGCAGTATTTCGAGTTAACATCAAAGGTCTTGCGTGAAGTCAGCAGCTTTGGGGGGAATCCCAGAGTTGCGAACATTGAGCTGCAAACAGCGACAAACGGCAGCAGCAGCAGCACAGAAGCTGATCACCGGATTTGCAAGTGGAGTGGACTGGCATTTCCTGCTCCAGGGGGAAATCTCATTCTTTTTTTTTTCAGAGGCTCCACAGCGATCCTAATTGATGGACCTCAATTACAATCCACGGGGAGAAGGAGGACACATGCCAACAGGATCTCGTGAAGAAAGATTAACGGAGATATCTTCACTGGTAGCCACCCACCTAAAGTCGATGGTGTCAAATTGAACAAACATTTATTACACGTGTATAAAAGACAAGTGCATTGATGCATACCGGGTATTATTTACTTGGCTTTGAACTAGCTGACCATTTACCTTATATAAAAAGGACAGACAGAGACACGGTTAAACATACTTGAAGAGACTTTTCAGTCATCCCCACTGTGCATTGGACCCATTTGAAACTTGTCCACAGGAAGGGGGGGGGAAACAAAAATCAACTTTCAGGTAAGCTGCTATTTTTAATACGAAATTTCTATCTAAAAAGAAACATAATCGACCGGATTTTAATATTGCAATTGTAAGATTTTTTGTAAAAAAAAACTGATATGTTTTTAATGCATTTCTAAAATATCTCAAACTTATTTGACACAATAACTAGTTTTCCCTTCAAAACATTGAACTGGTTATTTTCCCACATCGTCTGTAGTACGAATTCTCTCATCTCTGTTTCACTATTCATTGGCGATCTCCAACTTATTTAAAATGTGCGACAATTTGCTTTCTGGATTTTCCAAAAAAAAAAAATTCGCTCACAACTGGTTTCTAAGACTCCCCCAAAACAGCCTCCATCCAGCTTGTTAAATAAAACCAGTCATGTGTGTGCAAAGTAGATCCGAACTAAAGCCTCATCGCAAAGCATAATAGCTTTTCCAATACGATTTTTTTTAAAAAAAAATCTCCGATCCATGTCAATAAAATCGTGACCCAACCAGATATTAAATCTGGAAGTGAAGGTAATGTCGCACGATGAAGGTCGGGGCAAAATCCAGGAATGCAGAGACTCGGTGTAGTCCCCGACGTCTCGTGATGGGAAGCTTTAGGTTTGACCTTGTGTGAAAATACACTCGCTTTTCAATAGAGATCCGACTGCTGCTCACACAGATCTAACGCTCGCCACACGCATCCTTTCACTAGTGAGATTTAACCACTTTCTAGTCGGCAGAGTCCGTCTGGCGGGGATTAAAGAGAGAAGACATTACAGTTCTCTTGACATCCCGGAGGCATCTCTGAAGGAATGTTCATATTGTCTCGATGTCTGTTTTATCCAGAGATGGGCGGTCGGAAATGGCACACTTTGCTGGGCATCGTCTTTCTGTTGGTCACTCCAGGTCACTCTGAAAGCATAACAGAGCCCAGAGCGAAAGAGAAACACTCACTTGTAGACCTGATCTTGGCAGGCGTGGGGGATAGCACTCATGGGGGCAAGAACTTAGTCAAACGCTACAGCAACTTATTTCCCTTGGACAAAGACTACAAACATTCCTCTAAAGAAACACCTGCCTTAGTCTCAACGCTGGACAAGTCTCTAGGTAAGATCATACTAAGTGTCTGTAGATGTGGAGTCCCCCCCCACCCTCCTCGTCCATATAACCGATGCTGAATAAATCCAAGTTATTGTAACGCGTGTGGAGTTTAATCCCAAAGGTATTGTATAAGATCACATTCATCAAAATGAACGATTCTAGCAATAAAAATGAAACATAAATGCAGACCAGTGAGAATTTTTCCGGGAATGTACTAATTAATACTCGCCTTTGATGCGCGTATATTTAAAAGAAGACTTATTTCGGGGGGTGTTTTTGTACGATATCCCATGTCATCAATCAGAGGCGTGCGCCCCTCGGTTAGCCCTGATTTAGCTACAGCTTTGTGTTTGACAACACCTCTTGGCTTAGAAAACACGATGATTAAGATCGTAAGTTTATACGCACATTGGAGTGTGTGAAATCAGAAATGAATTCAGTCAAATTAAGACAATTACGAGACTGAGTTCGCTGTCGCTGAAGCAACGTCGTTAAGACTGGTATAATTGGGGTAGAGGAAAAGTACTGTGTCCATTCCTGTGAAAAAATATTAAATAGGATTGCAGTGCCTTTTGATCTGTAGTTCAGTTACATTCCTGCAGTAGGCAATACTCAGTTAGACACCTTCGCATGAGAGCTGCGAATTTATACGATAACCTACAAACCCATACGTGTTTGGTTAACTTTGTCTTCTCACACTTGGTTCAGCACTCGCCTTCCCCCGGCTCTCTCTCCCGACAGGGAATTGTTTGCCTTAAAATGCAACATCTCCTTCATTTCCGAGGAAAGGGGTTGCGTGGTACACTGAGCAGATTTGAGTGCGGTTAATTTATTGTGTTCAGTGAGTTGCGTGTCTGAAACGGAGAATTCCAGTTTCAATGTGAAATCCTTTTAAAAGCAAAGTAGGGATTTGGGGGCAGCCCAAGCAGAAAGCGCTACTGTTCCAAACTGTCAGATCTTGTCTGAGTCTAAATCAGATGATGTTTGGCTGTGGAATTCATGCATGGTTGCTTAAATTTACCACAATAATATAATAACATAATAATAACAGTTCTTGTCCCCAAGAAGTCATCAGTGACAGTCGATATGCAATTTTTAAAAAAACACAGGCATGGAATCATTGGGTATGGTTCCTTGCCTTTGTTTTTGAATTCTGCCCAGAAAGCTATGCCCAGTGTTATTCCTCCAAAAAATTATAACCCACATTGTGCATTTTTCTATCAAATAGTTAGAATGGCGGTTGTGCTTTCTGACAGCTAAAGCAAATAAAATCAAAGCTTCCTCTGTTGTGGCTTGCAAAGCAATGGAAAGTGCTTCAACCAATCGAGGGTCATGTGTTCCATATAGCCACAGGATAAATTATTTCATCTGAGTGCACTTCAGTATTTGGCTGTGGACATACTAGATGCAATTTTTTTAAAAAAAAACTTTAAAATATAATCAGAACTGTATTAAATTGCACAGCTGGAAATTGAATTTAATCAGCTGTTTCTCCCCCCTCCTTTCTGATTGGACATGTTGCATGAAACAATATCAATTTGAGTTATGAAAAACAACCAAATTTATATTTAAAGAATGTACTGACTGCAAAAATAAACCTTACTGATCACTATGAGCACGTAGCAAAGACAAGATGGAAGTATGTCTCTAAAACTTAAAAAGCATGTCAATGTTTTGAATCCTACATTATATCACTCTATGAATGTCTTATGCATGTAATTTGTATGTTAAATGAAAACAAATATTTAATTGGTTGTCAAATTCTGATTTACCAAAAAAAATCAAACATGCAATTTTCGATTATTCATTCATATATGTTGCTATATAAGGTTATAAAATATAGGGAGAAAATGTGGTACATAATTATCATCGATCATGATAGACAGAACTGTGGTCAAAACGTGCCCTTAGAACATATCCTTAATGGTATGTTGGGAATGAAGGCACCTCCGCTCTTTGGGAAGAATGATTTCACTCGGCACTGCTGAAGATTCAAAATGTCAGAAGATCGTCAAAAGCCCCATTTTGGAACTTGGAACTTACAATGACGCTCCAGTGCAGTCCTAGGGGTGTGCTGCATTGTTGGAGGTGTTGTCCTTTGGTTGACACATTAAACTGAACCCCCATCTGCCTGTTCAAGTGCACGTTAAAGATCAGAGAAAGAAACTTCTCCTGGTGTTCAAATAAAATTGGTGATTCACTTCATGGTATATACAAAGTCATTGCACTTTACAATATATCCTGTGAAGTACTTGAGACATCCTTCCAATGTGAAAGATGCTATACCAAATGTAAGGAATATTATTATGTCTTTTGAAGTGAGCGAGGAGCATGGACCTCCATAATCCTAGACATGGATGCAGTGTTTCACTGCTTCTTCATCAATTGCCACTTGTTCATGTAACTATTATTGGTAGTAGTAGTATTATTGTTCACATTAGCTTTCAAAGTTTTTTTGTGCAAAAAAACTTGACTCTATTTGATATTTCACTTTTTTAAAAGTTGTTAAGCAAGAGTTGTATAAGAATCATACATTTTCTTGAGCTGAAGAGTGTTGCAAAATTAATGATAGAATTCAAGTTGCAAGGTACTTACAAACAGTGGGGCTTATGTAGTTTGGAAGTTGGACAATAGATGGCATATGTGGGTACATAAGGTATTGAAAGGATGTAGCCTCTATGCTCTGAGGCTAAATCCAAACCTGGTGTTTTCCTAACTCAAAACGCATTCCAGTATATACACTATGTAAGATTTTGACCTAGCCTTCTCTCAAACTGCCTCAAATGGTCTTCCTGAGGATGACTTTCTGGGCATTCTTCTTGACCTCATTTGCTATTAGAACATAGAAATTTACAGCATAATACAGAAGGAGGCCATTTGACTTGAATGACTATCTTCTTTGCTTTGCACATCATTTTTTTCAGGTTTGAGAGGTAGGAGCAGAGAGACATCCAACTGATAGGCAAGGAGTTACATAAATGTTTATTGTATTTAATAGAGCCCCTATTATGCCGTGTCTCAAGAATTGTTTGGGGCTGACTCTTTCAGTTGTGGCCCATTTGCATCCCAGCTCTACGTGTATTCATGATTGTCAAACAATAGAACTAAGTTAGTGCAGCCCAGGGGATCATTGCCTTGAATAAAACACCAACAAGAACAAACTACATTTACACAGCATCCCAAGGCGCTGGACAGTCAAGGAGATTGGATTGAAGAGGGATGAGAGCCAAGTAGGGTGGGAAGATGACTGAAGGCACCGTCAAAGAGAAAGGTCTTGCGACAGATCTTGAAGGAGGTGAGGGAGTGGGTGAGGCACAGGGACTCTGACATGGGGGTTCAATGGCTGGGGGCAGAAAGGCAGCTTGATATGGAAGCTACATATCTTAGAAGCATAGAAACTGATAGAACAGAAGGTCATTTGGCCCATCATGTCTGTGTTTGCTCTTTTAAGAGCAATATAATACAAAATTACATTTGTATAGCTCCTTTCACGTTGGGAGGGCATCCCAAGGTGCTGGACAATCAGGGATTTGTATCCGAGTAGGGGCGAGGTGGTGGTATCAGCAAGGGTGGAGAGCAGAGAGGATTCGAGGGTGACCAAAAGCGTGGTGGAAGAGGAGGCCTTGAGATGTCCCTTGAAGGAGGCAAGGGAGCGAGACCAAGGGAATGTGGGATGGAGTTCCAAAGGGTGGGGACAGAGAGGCTGAAGATCTGACCGCTGATGGTGGGGCAGGCCAGGGAGGGAACGGACTGGTTGATATGCAATCCATTCAGTTAATTTACTTCTCTTTCCCCATCCTCTGTGGTTTACTCCTTTTTAGATATTTATCTTGTTCCCTTTTGAGAGCCTCTATAGATTGTACCTCAACCACTGCTCCTGGCCGGGCATTCCATATCCCAACTACTCCATGTGAAAAAATTCTCTGAACCTCCCTATTTACTCATTTACTAACTATCTTAAATTGATGCCCTCTGAAGTTTATAGATATAGGAACATTCAAACAGTATATCAGAAACAATATCCTCCAATATCAGAAGTACTGACCAAGATAATCAACCCCACTCCTCTTCCACCTCCCCCACTCAGCTGCCACCATCCTTCCGCAGGTCCCTCCACCAACCCCCCCCCATGCAAGCACCCACATTACCTTAAAACACACATGCACAGTATCCAGCTTTTTCAAGGCTGAGGTTAGTGTGCACACAGGCCTAGCATCCACATTGAATACACAGTTGTGGCTTTGCACCACCTGCTTGCACAGGTGCACTATCCCCTCCTCCTCCCTTCTTTGGTCATTCCCGTCCATCATCAGTTGGTGCCCACCAAAATTTTCATTTCTGATCACTGTCATCAATGGTGAGGATAAAATCATCAAAGGTACCACCGCCCAGGTTGAAGAAGAGGACGTCATTTGCCCCCAGCCCTTCTTGTCCAGGGCATAGGCGGTAATGTAGAGGACATGGAGCCTGGCGAGCACTCCATCATTTTTGGACTCCTACTGCTGGGAGTTGTTGAAATAAGGCTTGTAGCAATTCAGAAGGGAACTAGATAAATATCTAAAAAGGAGCAAACCACAGCGGAAAAAGATTTCTGCCGGCAATGTCTACCAATGTCATGTTTTCCTAGTACTGCTCTGGAGTATTAGCCTAGATTATGAGGTCAAGTCCTGACATGACCCTCAGGATACAAACAGTGCAAAAACAATAAATTGCTTTTATACAGCGCCTTTCACGTCAGGAGGACATACCAAGGCACTGACAGTCAAGAGTTTGCACACAAACTGGGAGTTGGGATCACGAGGGATGGAGGGCAAATGGGGTGGGAGGATGACCGAAGGCACAGTCAAAGAGGAAGGTCTTGAGGTATTGAAGGAGGCAAGGGAGAGGGCAAGGCTGTGCTCCATATGGATGGAGTTCCAGAAGGTGGGGGAAGAAAGGCTGAAGGCACTGGCCTGCTCCACGACACGCCCTGCCTGCTCCACTATTGGTGGTCTGGCAGCCTTTCTGCCTCCGCCCTCAGGAACTCAATCCCAGTGCCCCTCCACCGCAGCTCTTTCCTTGCCTCCTTCAAGTCCCATCCCAAAACCTTTCTTTTTGATCATGTTTTCGGTCATCGTTCCTCTTCCACCAGCCCTCCACCCGCCCCACCCCCAAACCCTGCCCTCCATCCCTCTCTGATCCCAACCTGAAGCTCGGGTGTAAACTCCTCATTGTCCAGCACTTTGGGACGTTCTCCCGACATGAAAAGCACTATACAAATGCAATAGGTTGTTATTTTTTGGTGGTGTTCAACAGTGTAAACAGATTATTGCGTGACGTTCACTAATGTAGGGAATTGCAAAAACAAACTGGATTTAATTCTTCAAAATGCCAAACAAGTCATCTGAAAGCTATTCTTTTAAATCGTTGGGGGAAACTAACGTTTTGCATATGCTGATCTTCATTTTTGCATTAAGTCTGAACAACAAATTATGAGACACCCAAATCCAAAGTCATAGTGAAAAACATAAGTTTTAACTGAAAAATTGATTTAAAGCTGATTGGTACATAAAACCACAGTATTCTTTTAGCATGTAGGGGCCCATTCAGCCCTTTTTGCATGTCCTCTCTATTGGGCTGAAGTTCTAGTCAGCAAGATATCTAGTGCCTTTGGAAATGCATTATTGTAATAGAGAATATAACCCTGGGTCAGTCTGGCTTATTTGATAGCATTCGGTCAGAAGATTGCAGGTTTGAGTCCCATGTTGGGTCTCATACAGTCGAGGCTGACACTCCAATGCAATGCTGAGGGTGTCAGAGGCGTTGTGCTTCAGTTTAAACTGAGGTCGGTCTGCATGTTCAGATGGACGTTAAAGATCCTATGGCACCATCCTTAAAGAAACAATGTTTCTTCCAATGTCTTAGCCAACAAACCCCTAATAAAATGGAGCATTCATCTCATGGTTGTTCGTGGGACATTGTGTGTGCAATGTCTGACTGCTGCATTTGCCTACAAAATACGCAGTTATTACAATTTACAGTGTATCATGTGACATGCTTTGAGACATCTTCCTGATGTGAAAGGCTCTATGTAAAATGTAAGAATTATTATTAGCATCCAACATCAACCCTACACATAATGCCAGCTGGAATTTCAGGACATATGAGAGCAATCTATTTAATCCCACTTCCCTACCTTTTCCCCTTTTATGTATTTTTTTCTTTTCAGGTGTTTGTCCAATTCACTTTTAAAAGCCATTATGGATTCTGCTTCAAACATTATTTTTATGGTTTTAATAAACATCCGTATAAAAGAATTCTAACCTCTTCCTTTTTCCGTAATATATTGGGTAAAATTGGATAATTGCAGTCTAAAGAGATGTTTATAATCAATTTCTTTCTGCAGCATAAAACACAATCTATTCATTGAATTTCACATTGTAACTTTGAACAGGCTCAAGATATGTAATGTTTTGAACTTTAAGGAACAAATTGAAAAATATTTTATATAGAAGCAAAATAGCTCTGAGTTATCATTACTGTCAGTCAGGAAATACCTATCATTACTTTCATGAAATGGGCATTCTCTTCCTTGAGGGATGAAGCCAGTTTACCTAATTCCCAAGACTGTTAGACACAGGTTGGCAAGAGCCAAATCTTGAGGCTTCAAAGTGTGCATTGGAATTGTTGCTGAAGTTTAACCAGATAAAACTACATAACTTGCTATTGAGAGCCCTGTCTCAATGCTGCTTGTTTTTGTTGTTTGTGGGACACTGCTGGGTGCAATTGGACTGTGTTTTTCCCACAAAATATGCAGTCAATTCAATTTACAGTATATTCTGTAAAGCGCTTTGAGATGTGTTGAAGACTTGATAAGGCACCATATCAAATGCAAGGATTATTATTATTATGATTCTGGATAATGATTTGAATTTAATGTTGAGGGTCCTTCTTAAATATAAAGGAGTTTGTTTGATTTAATGTTATGTTAAAAGCAACAATTTTAGAATCAAGTTTAGTTTTGCTGTGTGATGTAAATAATCAAGACCGAGTAAAAGGTACGATTCATGAAAATATTTTGTAACAATAGTGCCTCTTTACCCAAATTAGTATCGAGGTATATACATTGTATTATAATACAATATTATAATGCCTGTAAGACATGGCAATCTATAATTTCTGTTATAGCCTGGCTAGGTGTAGAATCAAGGACAGATGCTGAGAAGATATCTATCCTTTTCTCATAGAAAAGAAAAACTACTAATGGTAACTATTAAAAGGGGCAACTGACAAGATCATAGAACCATAGAAATTTACAACACAAAAGGTCATTCGGCCCATCGTGTCTGCAAAGTGTAATCATTTCAGTCCCATTCACCCTCCCTTTCCCCATACCCTTCTTGGGTATAAGATCGGGCATGTTACTGAACAAAATCCTCACAGTAAATTAGTATGAGGTACTGTTGTGTGTTTTCTATTGACCAGTTCCAAAGTAACACTGGAAAATGTCAGTATCTCCTCCATGCCAAATAATAATAATAATAATCCTATCACATCTTCGAGACTTCTCGAAGCGTTTCACATAAATGATGTAACTCCTGCAGGAATTCAGAGGAAAAAATAAAGTGAACAAATTGAAGATGTTTTGCAAAGTCTTAACATCTTCCTGTGTCTTGTGTCTTCAACATGAAATCTGTTCTTTGCTAATATTGGCCACTATGGCCTACTTTTATTGATAAGCATTCATATTTGTTGACATCAAGTAAATTAATAGGTAGTAATAAAAAACTAAACATTTGCATTTAAAATTGGAGGTAATGATGACAAAACTGTATTGAATTTAGGAAGTAACAAAGCAGATCTTAATAATTGTTCCTGCATTAGGAGGTTATCTCAAAGTGCTTCACAGAATTTACTGTAAAGTAATGGCTACATATTTGTAGGTAAACACGGCAGCCAATTTTGAAAATTTTGGGGGGGATTGTTGGACAGGACTTTGGGAGAGATTGCATTTGCTTATGGGATCTTTTAAAGGCTACCTGGACAGGCAGACAAGAACTTGGTTTGACATCTCAGTGAAAGGTTGGCACCTCTGACAAAGCATCACACCAGAGCACTGTACTGGAGTGTCAGCTAGATTGTGAATACTTAAGGTTGTTATTCAGGAAAAAAGGACACTGAAGACCATATGATAGCAATTTTCTAAAATCCTCTTTTGTTTTCCCACAGAAATTGCTGCAAGAGACCTCAGCTTGAAAGACAAGTATATATTGTCTTTTGGAGGTAAGAATACTAACTGACATTCTTCAGTACTGAAGATGGATTATGTTTTTAAAAATGTTGTATATGAGAAAAATATTTAATAAATTCTTCCCCAATTATCATGCAGGAGTTATCAACTTCCCACCTGAATGCAGCAAATATTTTTTCCGGATCTATAATAATACAAAGGACTGTACCACACCAAGTTGTAAGTATTCATTTAATTTGTTTATATGTATTATATAAATTATTTATATATTATTTATATGCATTAGAAGCTAACTGATTCCTGAAAGAGTGATTGTCATTTAAATTTTAATACTGTACACTTGAAATGAGCCAATTGATTTCACTATTGGCTGTCAGTTGGATATCAGTGGCAGTGAATGCCATAAATCAAGAAATATTCAATCAAAAAAACCTGAAAACACACTACCGATCGAGCACTAACTTACCTAGACTTGTGTGAATGTTCAGAGGGCCGCTTCTTGATGGCCCCGTGGGCCACAGGTTGGCCACCACTGATTTATAGACTGCTCCAAAATGGGTAGAAATAATAGAAATGTGTGGAGTACTGTAGCTCAGTGGTTAGAGCACTCGCTTTGCAAGTGAGACACCTGGGTTCAATTCCAGGCAGGGCAAAACCTTGGGCAAGTTTCCTTACTCCACACACCTAATAGTAATCCCTCCAAAACCAAAAACAATAATAAAATTGGTCATTTTCAATCTACGACTGTTTGTGGGACATTGCTGTGCGCAATTGGCTGCCGCGTTCGCCCACAAATATACAGTCAATTCACTTTACAGTGTGTTCTGTGAAGCGCTTTGGGACGTCCTCCCGACGTGAAAAGCGCTATATCAAATGCAAGGATTATTATTATATTATTATTATAATAAATATTTTGTGTTTTTTTTATCTCTATACTAATATTGGAAACCACCACTACTGGTATAACCTCAGGCTGCCATTACCTTCAGCAATGCGTTACAACACTTTTCCCAAAACTTGAATTTATTGTTGTTCTCAGCTCAAGTTAGCATTTGGTTGTGTTTAATTCTTCTACAACTACATTTAACACTCTTTTGTGAATCATCCTTCCTGCTGTTAACACTGTGCTTATGCTACTGGTATGAAGATGGCCTGATTGAAATAGGGACTTTCATAATCTCTATGATATGGTTGCTCTATTCAGCCCTTTTATCAACTTTTATCAACTGAAATGTCGACTGGGATGCTCTCTGACAGTGTAAAGCACCTTAGACCTAATAAGTTTAGCAATTAAACATTGTTTTAGCAACAGGATTTCTCATGAAAGAAAGGACAGAAATTCTACTTAGTCTTAGCCACGTAAAACTAGTTTGTCTTAAAATTCAAGATGATGCAGAATTATGAAAAGTTTTTATATCAAGTCAGAAGTGGATTATTTTTATGAACTGAAGAAAACTAGCTTCCAAATTGGCCCTCAATTTAATAATTTTTCACAATTATGTACAGCCATAAATTTAAGAAAGAAATAGTCTCAAAACCTAAGGCTCGATGCAATTCTGGATTTTGCAGTTCCAAAGCACAAAATAATCCATAGTTTGTTACTGAATGAGTTTGTGCATCTCAAAAAGATCATAAACAAAGCTGAGATGGTAGGTATAAGAAACAGAAGTGTCACATATAGTGGGGAGCTCATTTCTGTGGTTGATGATTAATATCTCTGATTGAGTACATAAATGAATAGGATCTTTACCCTTTGAAATAGGATAATAAGATAATTAGCCCTGGATGTAATCCATTCTTTATATTGTCTTGAAGTGCTGCACGATAGATCTAAACATAGAAAGTGGAAACATTCCTCGCAAAATAACAAATTGCTGTCCTGCAATGTTATAGTTGGCAATGCATTCTAGCTGTTTTGATGTTGCATATGTGATAAATTATAATGGGTTGGCTACATGGTCAATACAGCCATATTTCAATTCTTGTTTTTTTTCTATTTAAAATACCCTATTTTTGAAACACAAGTAGATCAACACTTTTTGTAGCATATGTTTTCATTTTGTCAATAAACAGTACAGGCTGTATAATAATCATCATTTTTGCATTTGATATAATGCTTTAAAGATACTCATAAAAATATTTTATCTCACGGCAAATTCTGTTAAATGTAATAATGGTGTATTTGTAGGTGATCAAAACAGCCAATTTGGCACACAGCAATACCCAACAAATAGGAGTCCTGTAGCACTCACCTCCTACCGAGAGGGAAGCTACAGAGGCCTCTACCCTGTGTGAAGGGCCCTATATAAGTGCAAGTTGTTTTTGAAAGCATCTGGGTTCGATTCCCAGGCAAGGCAAAATGTTAGGCAAATTTCTGTACTCCACATGCCTCTGTTTACCTAACAACAACAACAACAACAAGATTCCATTTACAGAGCGCCTTTCACGTCGGGAAGACGTCCCAAGGCCCTGGACAGTTGGGTCAGGACCTGAGCAGGGGAGGAATGGTCAGGGGGAGGGGAGGGAGGGAGCGAGGAGGGGGTAGAGAGTCGAGAGGGGAGCTGAAGGCACGGTCAAAGAGAAAGGTCTTGAGACCGGCCTTGAAGGAGGAAAGGGAGGAAGCAAGGCAAAGGCACTGAGGGATGGAGTTCCAGAGCCTAGGGGCTGAGAGGCTGAAGGCCCGGCCACCGATGGTAGGGCGGTTAGGGCGGGGGATGTGGAGCAGACCGGAGCCAGAGGAACGGAGGGTACGGGCAGGTAGGTAGGGGGATAGCAGGTCGGAGAGGTAGGAGGGAGCAAGGCCGTGAATGGCCTTGTAGGTGAGGATGAGGATCTTGAATTCAGTAACAGTAGCAGTAAGTAGGAAACCAGTTTTTAGTTGATTGACGGATCATTTTTCCGGGGGTTATAATCCCTTAAAGAAATAATAATAATAATTTGGACACTCAATCCACGACTGTTTGTGGGGCTCTATTGTGGGCAATTGGCTGCTGTGTTTCACCCACAAAATATGCACAAAATATACAGTTAATTCACTTTACTGTGAAGCGCTTTGAGACGTTTTGAAGACATGAAAAGGTGCTGTATCAAATGCAAGGATTATTATTATTATGAAACGAATGACCAATTTCATCTGGGGAAATTGTTGACTGAGACATTAGGAGACAATTCCTTCTCTTTCTGAGTAGTGTCATGGATTCTTTAACATTCAGTTGAAGAAGCGGAAGAGACCATCTGAAGGACGACAACTCTGACTATGTGGCACTCTCCCAACCTTGCACTGGAGTATCAGCCTTGATCTTATATAATGGCAGTAAAATCCACATATGGATTTTTGACAGTTTAACAATGTTTCTCACATAAATGGTAACCAGGTGCTCATGTTACAAGCTCATAAAATGTGAAATGCGTCACCAAAATGCCTACAAGAAGAATATGTGGGCATTCCACCAAGAAAATCTGTCCTAACTTTTTTTTTGGCTAGCATGGGGGAGAGCAGTGGGAGTTGAGTGGCCAACGGCTGGGTGAGGAGGGGGTTGAGGCAGCATGTTTAATTATAACCAGTGAATGATTATCTTTAATAACTGTGGTTTACTACAGTCAGTCAGTAACAAAACTGATCCATGGCATTAGTCCCCTTCTTTGACTTTGTGATTCTCTTGATCACATCGCATAACTCATCACAATTTTCATCACATTACAAGATTTTTAATTGATGCAAAAGCTTACATACTGATAAAAATGTTTACCCTGTTTTAAACATTTTAAACAGGGTAAACATAATGCTAGATTATATTACTATATCAGTTGAGTTCAGACTCCTCAGTTGTCATACTCATTATACGTAGTGGTCAGGCCAGGCCTTGAGAACTGAGTACAGTTCTGGTCACCATGACGTTACAGGGTTGCGCAAGCCCTATAAACACTGCAGAGGAGAGCAATGATCAGGATAGGTCAATGGACAGTCAGGAGGTCAGAGGGACAGCGGAAAGAGTGGTAGTAAATCCGGCATTAAACTTGAACAACAGATATGAGATCCTTGGAACTTGTATCGACAAGGAAGCCAGTGAGGTGGAAGGAAAAACTACCTCTAACACTGGGGCAAAAGAGCGGATGGTTGTCGTCATTGGGGATGAGACTATAAGGCAGACAGACACAATCATCTGCAACAGCAACCAGAAGACCAGAAGGCTTTGTTGCCTCCCTGGGCCAGGGGTGAAGGATGTCTGGGCAGGGGTAGAAGACAATTTAAAATATGAGGACAAGGATCCGTTGGTGGTACTTCACATAGGTACCCATGACATCGGTAGAGTAGGCCAAGATGACTTGAGAAGGGAATTTGAAGAGCTGGGGTCCAAATTGAAGTCGAGATCATCGAAGGTGGTAATATCGGGACTACTGCCTGTACCATACGACAATTGGTACAGGAACAAACAAATTAAGGACTTGAACGCATGGCTAAAAGAGTGGTGCGGAACTCAGAGGTTTCTTTTTATGGGCCATTGGCACGAATATTGGGGGAAAAGAGAGCTCTTTCGGAGAAAAGGCCTGCTTTTAAATCGTGCTCGGACAAATATCCTAGCTAAACGAATTAACGGAAATAAATAGGAATTTAAACTAGTAAAGGGGGTGGAATATATAGGTAAGAGAAACCATAAGTTAGCATTAGAAAAAGTAAAGATGACAGTGCAGAATAACATGCCAGATAATAGGAATATGTTAACTAAGGGTAAGAAGCTTGGCGAAGTAGATAAGGAATCAGAGAGTAGAGGAAATGGTAGGAAATTAAAAATGTTATATCTGAATGTGCGAAGCATTCGGAATAAAACTGATGAACTAAAAGCACAGGAAAAGCACATGAAACATGGTTACAAGGAGATCCAGGGTGGGAGTTAAATATTCCAAGGTTCTCAGTTTACAGGAAAGATAGGCACTGTGGGAAAAGAGGTGGGGAGGTAGCCCTGTTAATTAGGGATAAAATAAAAGCAGTGGAGAGGAAGGATCTGAAATCCGATGACCAGGAGATTGAGACAATATGGGTGGAAATAAAAAATAATAAAGGGCAGAAAATATTAATGGGAGTGGTTTATAGACCCCCAAACAGTGATCACAATATAGCACAGGGTATCAATCAAGAAATCAGTGGAGCATGTAGGAAAGGTAAAGCGATAATAGTGGATGATTTCAATCTCCACATAGATTGGGAAAACCAAATCGGC